AAAAAAAAATTTAAAGAAGGAAGAGGGGATTTTTGCCCATTTTCGTTACCAGATTAGATAAGTTCATTGTGGATCGGTTCCTTAGTCTTTTGATCCTTAAGGTGCCTGCCACTCAAGAGTCAACTCCAGATAAAAATCGTCCCATGCCAGGCAGGCTGACAGAGAGAGACTGTGGGAGCAGCTGCCCTCAGGCCTACTGGGAAAAGGCCTTCTTCTGTCCAATGACTATCTTTGGGGGTTGGGGGTTGGTAGACAAGTAGTGACAGTTGAGGACAGCAGTGTCACCACGACGTAAATTGGCCCGGGGTGGGGGAGGGGCTGGGGTTGGGGAGAGGCCATGTCTTCTAATGCCTCTGTACTTGGTGGTACCCTTGCCCGAAACCCTCCCTCGCTTGCTCCTCATGTGGCTTATTTGACTGGTTTCTTTCAGGTTTCCACTTAAATGTAAATCCCTCAGGGAGACATGTAGCCTCCTCGGACCACCCTCTCTAAAATGGCTGGTCACATCTTGTTTCAGGACTTTAGAGCATATACCAGTCTCATGAACAACTGGTTTGTTTACTTATTTATAATCTTTCCATTAGATTATAACATTGGTTGGGCTTCTGAAAGGCCCTCAAGGCTTTCTCATAGGGTGCTTTCTTACTTCGAGTTTTTGCTATCTCACAGTTTCCTTTCTTTGGTTCCTTCTGTTCCCCTACCTCCGCCCCCCCCTCCCCCCACCCCGTGATTCATGGCAGGTGGGTGGGAGGTTATGAGAGACTGGCTGGTGGCGGTGGTGGTCTGTGGAGATAGGAGAGGACTTGTCCATCTGGGCTCTTGGATCTTTAAGTATTTACAATAAAGACCGGTGACTGGCAATACTTTACAATATGGAAATAATAATGGCAAATGCTTGTCTAAACTGGTTAATTATTAATGTTACTTGTGAGACCGGTGATCGACTTTCTGCCTTGTGCTACTCTGTGCTTTCCTACAAGGTACACAAGAGTAGATGTGCAATAGTCTGAGGGAAGTTCAGGATCCCCGTACCCAGCAAATGCTGACAGAGTTCAAAAGGTCTTTGAAAAAAGGCTCTGGCCATTAATATCCAAAGACACGCTGAGCTGACTGCAAAAACCAACAGCAACCGAAAATAACGAAACGGACGTGAAGCGCGTTCACGAAGCCAGCTCCTCAAGCTCACGCCCGGTTTGTTGTGTTGGGAGCACAGCAGGTTTTAATTACAGGGAGGGCAGTGCTCGTGGCCCCTGTGACTCGCACAATATAGACAGAGGGCACGGTGTCCAGCGAGGACGATGCGGTAGACAGAAATGACGTACCAAAACCATCAGTGGAGAAATGGCTGGTGTGCCCAATGCCTAGCCAGCATTAGTTCACTGGATCAAAACACAGATTGGGTGTAGGAAATTTAGGGGGCAGCAAAGAAATGTAAAGCACGATGAGAGGGCAGAAAGCTCAGATTCACGTTCTGAGCACACTGGCCCTCCGGGAACACAAGAGCAGCTAAACACTGAGGGCAATTCCATTAAAAATACATCCCTCATGGGGTCATTAAAGTATATTGACCACATCATCACTGAACAGCAGGAACTTGAGTGATCGGCAGCATCTTGCAATCTAGCTTGCTTGCACAGCCTCCATAAATGAGCTACGAGGATAGGAAAACAGGCACAAAGTGTTCCATGAAATGGGAAAAATCACTGCAAAGGCTAATAAAAATTCCAATCATTAAAAAACAATAATCGAATAGCTACTATGTGCAAAAAAGCAACCCCTCAATTTAAAACGTGTATACAAACTCTGGATAAAAAAAGATTGGGCCAGAAAGGAGAAAGTGAAGCTGATTTATTGTAAGAATCAGGCGTAAGTGACAAGAAGCAGGGAAACGTGGTCACCTTGGGAACAGAGGGGGACAGATGTGGACAAATAATGATGACGAGCATAAGGTCAGAGGTATGTTCTTCTGATCATGAATACCCTGGATTAACCCTCTCCCAAGGGCTTCTCATGGCCACGATTGGGGTCTCTCCATCAGCAGACCTGGCCCTGGACCATATCATGACATGGCAGGTGCTGTGATAATCAGAGCTAAAACACAGTGTTTTAGTAACACGACTGTGGCATTTGATTCAGTGCCTAACTGCTGTGTGACTACATTCTCTATCCCCTTATCTGTAAAATCCACCCCCCCCCCCCCCCCCCCCCACCTCGCAAGGATATTTAAGGAACGAATACATTAAATGATGGGGTAAAACAATAGTGCACATGATGCATCTATGTCCAGGGCTGTCTTCTCACAGAGGTGAAACAAGTCTCCATTTGATGTAACTCATCGTGGCCATTCTAACAAACAATTGGGTGCATTTTAAGTTAAAAAAATCAATCATGTTCAAAAACATAAATCTTTTGGAGTCTGCATTCTACTAATTTTTTAGAGTAGTTTTTTTGTTTTGTTTTTTTTTAGTTTATTTACTTATTTTGAGAGAGTGCGCACCCGTGTGTGTGCAAGCAGGAGAGGAGCAGAGAAAAAAAAGAGAGAGAGACAGAGACAGAGAGAGAGAGAGAGTCCCAAGCAGGCTCCAAGCTGTCAGTGCGGGGCCTTAGGCAGGGCTCAAACTCACAAACCTTGAGATCATGACCTGAGTCAAAATCAAGAGTCAGGCACTTAACTGACTGAGCCACCCAGGCGCCCCTGCATTCTGCTATTTATCACTGCCCCAGATTCCTACTACCCAAAGTCCTTGTCATTCTGATGTGGCTTCCCTTTCTCCCTCCTTTACGGGCTCCCTTCAAGTCAGTTCAAGTCATTATTCACTAAGAGTCTAACTGCTGTGGAGTCACAAATATAAAAAGCAAGCACAGTCTTTGACATCAAGGAAGCTCATCTACCGGAGAAACTAATGCCTGCATACTGTCCTTCAGGGCTGGCTGCGGTAAATGCTGCTTCCGTTTTGGAGGCGAGAAGACATCGAAACTCGGAGAAGAGAGACTTTGAGGAGGAGAGTACACATGGG